TTAAACTAAAAGTTTGCTCAAAAAAACAACTTCGCCCAAAAGTAATAATATGTCAACATAAAATACCAAAAAAGAGATTCTACACAAGTTTACAACTACATTAAACTAAAATAATCAAGAGCTGTTTTTACTCAAATTCATCTTTTTGCTTCCCCAATCTAGAAATGTTTTTACAATTCCAGTTCGCATTGCTGGGTATTCTGATTCAGCTTTGTCCTTTATGATTGGTTGTTGCTTGAAACGTTTTTTAATCAGATACAAAACCACCACACCGCAGTCAACACTATCATCCTTTTATTGTGGCGCTTCAACGAGTGAAACGATTTGCTCTTCTAGACATACAAGTATCAGATTGTGATGTTCTGCTGTTTTTTCCAGGGCCTTTTTTCTGAAATTGTACATTATGTAAGTTTTTTTTTTTTTTTTTTTTTTTAATTTTTTTTTGAGTAAATTCAAGTCCATTACAAGGGGAAATAGGGGTGGGGGGGACTCGAACCCTAGAAACAATTGTACATTATGTAAGTTAAAAGTGTATTATCTTGTAATTTAAAAACAATGCCTAATGGAAAAGTTCAATTAAGTTACAATATTGACAAAGAAACAATTTAAAGTATCAACCTTCCTAACAGGCTTCATTTGAAATTCAGTTATTTACAGAATAGTCAATTTACAGAATAATGTGTTTAGAGAATAGTCTATTTACATCCTAATGAACTGTTTACAAAATATCTTTATATATAAAAGAAAGGTTTTGCCCCGAAACCCTAATCCCGTTTTTGTGAAAAAATCGTCATCCTAGGGGCAGTTTTGTCCGTTCACTTTGGAAGTTATTTTTTTTTGTTTTTCTTTCGCGGTTTTTAACATAGAAATCTGAATACACAGTTAATAACCTACTTCCCACGTTCTCTGCAATCAATCCATTGAAAAAAACCGTATGTGCAAAACTTCCCACGTTGTGTTGAAAGCTTGATGACACGATGTTTTGTTCCTACACGTTCAAATAACTTCTCCTCATAACTGCTCCACTCTCATTCCTTAAATACGCCGTTTCCCTGCATTCGATTAATTCTCTTCTAAAAAAACGCCTATAGACGGAAACCTAAGTTTGACAGCAAGAAAATACCACCCGCCATGTCAGTAACTCTCTCTCTCTCTCTCTCTCTCTCTCTCTATCTATCTATGAATTTAGTGTGCTTTGATAGTAGACGAGAGGTTTTTCTCTTTTGTTTGTTTTTTTTTAGTAGGATGGTGGATTTTGTCGTAGGATATATACCGGTGATAATCATCCATGTTTTTCTTTCCATATTTTTTTTCACCCTCCTTTCCAGTTGCATTTGATTTTTCAATCTTTCGAATTAATTTGGTAAGTTCTCTCTGTTGTGAATATCCCTCTTCGAAATAATTACTTTAATTATGAGGAACTTTTGAATTTATTTGAGTTGAAAACAAGTTCTAACGGTCACTTTATTTGTTCAAGTTATGCCACATGGTGACGGGAATAACTTATTCACGTTAATTCATTATGCTAATTACTCGATGCAAGCCTAAAGAAATATCGACTGTCAATTTGATTGTTAATTCGTTACAGAAGGATCAAAAGGACTTCTCTATTGTACAACTATTGAAATCATGCACTTCTCTTGCTGCAAAAACTTGACTACAGTGTGACGTCCACATGTTATTAGTTTATTAGTTTATGTTTATTATTTCTAAAGTCGATTTATTTATTTTGATAGTTGTACTATTGTTTGTTGTTTCTGTTTGTGCTCCAAGTATCAATTCTGTTTGTTGATTCTTTAAGAAACCTGTATTTTTTCTAGGTTTCTCAGTTAAATCTCTGAATATCATTATTGCTAAAGTTGTATGAATTGTTGTTACTTTTTGAGTTTCATTTTTTTAACCAATTGTTTCTTTTGGCATAACATCTGAGTTTTTTGCTAAAATATCTGAATTTCTTTATTTCAATAGTTGTCAGAATAGTTTTGTTTTTTTCCTTCTAATATCATAGTTGTGCTAATGCTAAATTACTTCTGTTTATGCTCCATTTCTTAAGTCGTATTTTGCTTTTGCTAGAATTCTGTCTTTTGCTAACTTTCTCGATTAAATATCTGATTTTATTTATTTCGATGGATGTAATGATATTTGTTGTTTCTATTTTTTTTTTATAAGACTACGGAAGAATCTTTCTTTTTGTTACTATTTAATATTTAACAAAACAAATATTTTGTTTTCATTGTTTATTAATAAGCAAAATCCCAACACGACTTCTGCAAAATTTATGTAATTACATGTGTATAAGCAAAGTCACAAAAGAAAGAGGACTATGAATTCCACTTGAAGCATTTTCATAGCTTTTTCGAAGAGAGAAGGATAATATTGATATTTTGGAAATTTGACAATACCTTTAATTTAATTTATGTATTTTCACATCAGTTATTATAGTTCTAATTTCTGTACTTTTTATTTGATAATTTCTCCATATATTTGACATAAGTTGTCCTTTAAAGTTTTCCTGTCTGATTTGCTTTGAGCTATTTTTAATGCAATAGTTTGCTTCTCCTTTATAATAACGTGTGACATACTTGAATGTTTGTGTTCTGATTTAAATGGCTAGGAGTTGGGGTAATGAAGAAGACATTTTTCATTATATATATATATATATATATATATATATATATATATAT